CAGCTGGAAAAGGATGCATTGCCCACTCCGGGTAGGGAGTAAGTTGCTACCCCAAATAGAGGAGTTCAAGTACCTCGGGGTCTTGTTCACGAGTGAGGATAGGATGCATCGATCCGATCCAAATCCGATATTGTGCGTATACTATTCTGTAGTGTTAAGCCCCACGAAAGCACAAAAACAGTATAAAGCACCATAAAGTCAAAGTCCAAGTGTTCTGAAGCTGTTCCATAGTTTAATGTGAGGTACAGATGAATATTTAAGCCGTTAAATTCAAGTTCACATAAACTCTTCTCTCAGCTGCAGCGGTCTGTCACCCTCCATTTAGCATTCAAACTGCGTGTCACATTCAGTGATGACAGTAAAGACAATGAAACTCTCTCCAAGAGCGCACAGTAACTGAAATTTAAAACTGTTAAATGAAAAGGCTCAAACTATCACACAGATTTAATAAACTATGCATCAATTTCTCTTTCTTTTGTGCTTTGAAATTCTCTATGCGGAGCGCTGCACGCTCAGACTCCGTGTTGCTTCAAGCGCATCATTCTGCGCACAGGATGCGCATAAGCGCTTTGTGCCGCTCTGTATTGGAGCTTTTCATATTATAATACTTTTGCGCAATGAAAGGTTATTTATAGTAATGAAGGCAGCAACATATGATAGATTAGATTATTAATAGCTTTTCTTTTAACGCTATTTTTAACGCTTTTTAACGCTATTAATAATCTAATCTATCATATGTTGCTGCCTTCATTACTATGCTATACATTTAAAAGAAATGTCTTTTAATTTTATAGTTTATAGACTTTTACTTGTTTTCATTAATGTTTTTTGCAACAATACAAAGAACAATGTGTAACATTTTACCAGATTTAGTTCTACACCTTTTCACTTTTATTTGTTCCCCACTAAATAATGTTATTTCACTAAATGTTTAGATTTTATACAATTGTGCACTCATGATTTTCTAGAATAACTTTTACTCCTAAATTATCCACTAACCTAGTTTATAATAGTATTTTTGTCATACATTATGATCAGGGATTGAAATCAACTTTTTCACTCACCAGCCAATTTGGCTACTAAATTTTTAAGTTACCGGGCATTCATAACTTCTACTAGCCCAAAAAAAAAAAAAAGACAAATACACCAACAGTTTGAGGCCGTCTATACACTGGGCGTGACAAAGCGACCGTTGCAAATCATTTTGTCAGTAAATACACCAAGCCGTCTATACACTGGGCGTGACAAAGCGACCGTTGCAAATCATTTTGTCAGTACTAGGGGTACTAGGGGTTGACAAAAAATAATATCTCAAGTGGACAGCTAGTTTTTGATATTCTTCATATTCTGTGTGGTCAGTTCACAGCAGTGATAGAAATTAAGCTAATTAAGCTTATTTAAATAGATTTTTAACTTTTATGGGCATTCTTACCTTTATAAAGCCATTTTTTTCTAAAAGTGTACATCATCTTTTGAGTCAAATTCTTACATTTAATCAGTCAATTATAATAATTGCATATGAAGTGGCATTTAGATGCATTTACACATGTTAATGCAGCTTAGGGGGACATGGAATGCTTTAAACTGCAGTTACTGCAGTTACAATAATGTTTTGATATTTAAAACATGAAATGTTGAATATTGATATTTGAAATTATTTAAAATATTTAAAAAACTTTAAATGTGAAATTAAAACCGCCAGTAGGTGGCAGCAAGTCACTGTTAAGT